CTTATAGAGACTTACTTTTCAATGCATCCTTGACGGGGGGCATCTATCGCACTGGGCTCACTTACAGCTTGCCTGCGCGCGGCCTTTGGCGGCACTGTGTTTCGTCATCCTGAGTTTAGCACCGGTTACGGTATTATGTCGAAACACCGCGGCGCAATGTGTATTCAATCCATCAGAACCTCGACTTCTCCAGCGGCTTCCTGAGCGCAAGCCCGATGGTGAAGAAGGTCGAGCCGATCATGCGACCGAAACCGAAAGCGTCGCAGGCAACCTGTACCGCGCAGCCAAGCCGAATGGCCAAATGCGCGAAAACGTGCCGGACTAGTCGCTTCGCTCTCGCAAGCTGCATACGTCTCCATCCAGAGTTTGCACATCGAGCATCTGTTCTGCTCAAGCTTTCGGCGCCGTTCAGGGTCCATGTCGGCCCGATCGATCCTGTTCGAGATCGACTCTGACAGGCCGAATCGGGTGTGCAATGTTTTTCGGGGGTGCGTAATGGGGGGACGATAAATGGGGGGCAGCGGGGGCTGCCGAAAAGGGGCCCTGTAGGGCCTTTAGGGCCCCCCCCCAAGGGGCCCTTTCGGGTTCAGAAGGTGGAGTGTCGGGTTAGAAAGGGCACCCTTCTCCCCCCCATTTATTGAACAGCGGGAAACTGCCCCCAGCCCCAACAACTATTGATTCTATATGTCGACGTTTTGCAATTGTGGTGAAGCTGCGTAAGTGTAGGCGCCCTGTAAGCGAGGCCACTGCCGTGTACTTGGCCTAGAGTTCCTCATGCGGGGGGCGGGGGGCGCTTTTCGTGCGTTAGTTTATTGCCCCCCTCACCAATTCTCATGGCGCCAACATCGCAGAGCGGATTTCGTTCGGAAAAAAATAGGGTGGGCCTGGAGTGTCCTGAAGAATTTCGTTCCGGATTTCGAAGTGAAGGTTGTGCGGATTCTCTTGGGCCAGGAATGAAGACCAGGCAGAAATCCACGTGACATTCACTTCGTTTTTCGCTCGCCGTTTCGGGCGGGGTCTTGCGCTGACAGAAGTCCACGCCAAAAATCCGCTGCAGCACGTCTGCAAGGTCGGTGCAGCGACGACTTCGCGCCCAACGTTTGGAACCGCACTCCGCTGGGCCTAGAGGACGAGGAAAGCTGGGTGGCGCAGTTGTCTTACCATCCGAAGCGCGCCCTGTGGCAGAGAGGAGGAGGAGGGGGAGGGTAGAAAACCCTGTCGAATCGGTCGGGCGCGCCTGGGCGCGCCGCGATCGCCCTGCGATCGCCTGCCAGGCCTCCGCGGAGGCCCCTGCGAGGACCGCCGCGGGCCTGCGGGGGTCGCCGGGGCCTCCCTGCGGCCTCGTCGAGAGCCGCCGAGGGGCCGCCGAGGGGCCGCCGAGGGGCCGCCGAGGGCCGCCGAGGGCCGCCGAGGGCCGCCTCCTCCTCCGGCTGCTCCTCCTCCTGCTGCTCCTCCTCCTGCTGCTCCTCCTCCTCGTCCTCCTCCTCGTCCTCCTCCTCCTCCTCCTGCTCCTCCTCCTCCTCCTCCTCCTCCTGCTCCGCCTCCTCGCGCCGAGGGGCCCTCGGAGCCTTTCGGAACGTTCAAGGGCTCGAGCTCCACGGTGTTCTGGCGATCTCGTGGGCCGTTCTCGTTTAGATTATCATTCTGCTCCTCCTCCTCCTCCTCCTCGTCCTCCTCCTCCTCCTCCTCCTCCTCCTCCTCCTCCTCCTGATCATCATCATCATCACATCATCCATCATCATCAACTCATCATCATCATCATCATCATCATCATCATCATCATCATCATCATCATCATCATCATCATCACTCATCATCATCATCATCATCTCATCATCATCATCATCATCATCATCATCATCATCATCATCATCATCCCACTCCTCCCCCCCCTCCTCCTCGTCCTCCTCCTAGTTCTCCCCCTCTTCCCCCTCCTTCGCGACGAAGGGAGGTCTGGGGAGACCTGGGCCCTGCTTCGCGTCGCCCCCCTGCCCGCATCCCCGCTCGAGCTCGATGGTGTTCTGGCGATCTCGTGGGCCGTTCTCGTTTCGATTTTTCGCTTCGCAGCAGGGGCGGAACGAAGGCAGACCGGCCCTGCGATCTAACATCTCGGACAAATCGAGACATCGCGAATCGTCACGACTGGAGCCCTGGCCCCCATCTTTCTGCGCCGTTTCTAGAGTCGGATCGATCCGTGAGGATCCTGAACGGCCCCGAATCTTGGCGAAGACGCCCGGCTCGAGAAAGTGGAGACGCCAGGATCTCCAGGGGCGGGAGCACCCAGAGAGCACGAAAGCGGAGTGCTTTGCCCAGGGCGAGCCCAGGAGGAGGAGGAGGAGGAGGAGGAGGAGGAGGAGGAGGAGGAGGAGGAGGAGGATCCCCAGAGCGTCCTCCGGAGGCGGCGCCCCCCGCTGGGTCGCCGCGCCGCCGCCGGCTGACGGCGGGCCGCTCCACGAGCCGCCTCGCGGCTCGCGCTTCGCCGCGCACGGCGGCGAGCTAGGCGCGGGGGCGCTGCCTCCTCCTGCTCCGCCCCTTGCTCCTCTTCCTCCCTCCCTCCCTCCCTCCCTCCCTCCCTCCCTCCCTCCCTCCCCTCCCTCCCTCCTCCTCCCTCCCTCCCTCCTCCTCCTCCTCCTCCCTCCTCCTCCTCCTCCTCCTCCTCCTCCTCCTCCTCCTTCTCTTCCCCCTCCTCCTCCTTCTCCTTCCTTTCCTCCTCTTCCCCCTCCTCCTCCTCCTCTGGCCCTTCCTCTTCTTCCTCCTCCTCCTCTTCCTCCTCCTCCTCCTCTCCCAGGTCGGAGGAGAGGTCATCGAGAGCAAGAGAAAGCCCTAACCCTGATACCATAGTGAAGACGTGGCCTCACTGAGGTCCCCGCCTTTGCATCAGGGATCATAGATTTGGGCGGTTTAGGGGTTAATGCATCTGCAGAAAAGACCCTGCATCCCTAATACTCTTGGCCTTCTAGCTTAGGTCGCCTCCCAAAGGGTTGGTGTTCTTTTATTGTTAATCGAGAGGTGGGCCCCAGACCCCCTCGCGCTGTGGCACAAGTCCTGGCGGGAGGTTCTGTGCCGTCTCCTGCCCGTGAGGGCCCTCGCCAGGCCCTGGGAGCGTCCGCAGAACGAGTCGGAATGAAGAGCCGGCCCCCAGGGCTCCAGAGACAGGGGTTAGTGCAAGCGGGGGTCAGTCAGAGCGGCAGATCTTGCAGGATCCTGCAGGGCCAGGGGTGCATTGATCTGGGTTCGCGTACAGGATCTGGCAGGATCCTGCAGGATCCTGCAGGATCCTGCAATGCCTGACTGATCCGGGTGTGCACTGTCCCGGGTCAGTGCATCCTGGAGGATCGGGACTTTGGGATCTCCCTCGGGGGCCCCGAAACGGGGTGGTGACCACACCGTGCGGTGAGTCGGTGGGGATTCGGGGTCACCGCACGGTTTTGGGACTCGGGTCGTTCTCCGAGGACGTCTCGGGCGACGGGGGCCTCTGGGGTCCCAAGACCGTGCGGTGACGGGCCTTGCGGTGAGGTCTTGGGGGATTTCGAGGTCACCGCACGGTCCGTCACCGCACCGTTTCGGGACTCCAAACTCCCCCCTTCTGCTTCTCGGCCGCCGTGGTCGCCGCTGATGTTCGACAGTGTGATTTTGTCAATGCGGGTGCTTTTTCTCCATCTCGGCCTCGGGGGCCCGTTATCGGCCCCCCGGGGCTATCAAGAATGGCTCTGGGACGAATGACTACAACTGGGGGAGGGGTCGGGTCGGGCGGGGCTGGGGCAAGGATAAATCCATTCCAGAGTGTTTGGGATCGCTCTCGGAGCGTTCCAGAACGCTCTGAGAAGGCCGCGGCGCCCGAGACGTCCTCCAGAACCGCCTGATCTCAGATATTCCTGCTTCAGCCTCGTCCGATTTTATTATCATCCTGGCTTCATCTTACAACTGCCCCTGGGGAGGTTGGGGGCGCGCACAGGGGGGGGGGTACGGTCAACCCGCACAGTAAGGATGGGCAACCTCTCCAAAGGCACTCTTGCATCCTTGCCCCTGCGGCCAATCCTTAGCGCCTTCCGCTGGCCAGCCTCGTTGGAACAACGTTCCCGTGGGCCTCCAAGGCCCTTGCATCCTTGCCGCGCGTCCTCGTGACACGGGTTGCCTGTGCTGGGGAGGGGGGAAGGATTCTTGGCTTCCGAGGCCGCGGCCCCGAGCTCTGGGCGCTGCCGTGTTTCGGAGGCCTAGAGGCTGACACCAACACCAAGATCGGCGGTGTGCCTTCGCCGAGGGAAGATGCTCCCGATCTCGGCGATGGTGGTAATCTTCGGGCTCTCCAAGTGGCCGACTTATTACCACCAGCACCAGAACCTAGCATCATCTTACCCCTGTGGAGGCAACCTCCTGTGTTGGTGTTGGTGCCCATTTCCAGGCCTCCAACTTTTGTTCCTTCCCACCGGGCGCTCTCGCCGCGCTGCGGGCCCCGGGGCCTTCGCACAGGCAGGTCCGGCTCGAGAGATGCCGCAGGAAGGAGGGGGCCGGAGCCCCGCTCGTGGTCTTCGCGATGCTATTATTTCGCAGCGTCGGATCTCAGGGAGATGGTGATTGTCGTCGTCGTCCTCGTCCTTGTCCTCGTCCTCGTGGTCGTGGTCGTGGTCGTGGCCGCCGCCGCCGCCGCCGCCGCCGCCGTCGTCGTCGTCGTCGTCGTCGTCGTCGTCGTCGTCGTCGTCGTCGTCGTCGTCGTCGTCGTCGTCCTAGGGTGCTGGGCGTTCTGATCGGCTCCCCGATGTTTTCCCGCCTCGGGATGCTTCCCTGCAGCTGCGCCTCGCCGAGGGCGTTCCGGGGGTGCCCGAATCGTCCCTAGCGGCCACCAGAGGAGGAGGAGGAGGAGGAGGAGGAGGAGGAGGAGGAGGAGGAGGAGGAGGAGGAGGAGGAGGAGGAGGAGGAGGAGGAGGAGGAGTACAATGTCAAGTAATGTGTTCTCTTTGGGGTTTTGTTCCAGTGCTGCGGCGGGACCGTCGAGCCTTTAGCCCGCAGGACCCCCCTGACCTCGGTGGGCCATCCCAGGATGGAGGTTGGGGGCTGAGCCGTTCCCACCGAGTACATGTTCAAGGTCGGCCTCTTTGTGTATTCGGCCCCAGTTGCTCTGGGGCAGGAGCTGCTCGATGCGTGCCGTCATGGCCCTTGCGGACCCCGCTGGCAGCGGCGCTGGGGCAGGCGCTGGTGCGGCGGCGGCGGCAGCGCACTGCCCAGGACGCCTGTCCCCTGCCACGGCCATGTTCTCCCGTTCCCCATCGGTCGGGGACGGTAAAGCTTTGGGCTGCGCCTTTGGGGCGTGACGAGAGTGACGTGGCAAGGAGACCTGATGGCGGCCTGGGCTCGGCGGCGGCGCGGGCTGGCTCGTGCATCAGGAAGCTGTATGCTCGCAACTTGGGGGGGCTGGGGGCCAGCAGCCAAATCCCTGGCCCAGCAGCATCGTGCAGACATCATTGTGGTTCCTGAGACTCATGTTGGGCCTACAGGATCGAACGATATTCATCATGACTGGCGTAAGTCTGGATACACGGGTGTGCTCTCAGCGGCGTACTCGACGGACACGCGCAACAAGGCTGGTGGCATCACCATGGGTGTTCGTAAGCGTTTTCGGGTTTCTTCTCTTCGCCACCTGTCAGCTGCGCCGCAGGATCAGGTGGGTCTGCGGCAGCTGGATCAGGCAGAGCAGCCTGGGCTGGACTTTCGCGATATGGTGGCCATGCAGCTTCGGGCCCAGCACCAGTCTCTGTTGGTCGTGGGCGTGTACATGACCGCGGCCGTGGGCGCGAAGGGCAACGCCCAGAAGCTGGCTAACCTAGGAGCGCTGCTGGGGACGATCCAGGGCATGTGGCTTGTCGTGGGTGACTGGAACATGACGCCTCAGGAGTTATCATCATCAGAATGGCTAGAACTCTCGCGGGGGGTCGTCGCTGTGCCTAGCCACACCACTTACACGTGCACGGCGGGGTCAGGGCGCATGCTCGACTACCTCGTGATGTCTTCGTCGGCTCAGCACTTGCTAGCCTCTATCGAGGCTGACTTTGAGACGGTGGAGGAGGCTGGCAAGTCTCATTACGGATTGGACATTTCGTTGGATTTCGACTTGTCGAGGGCTATGGCATGGACTCTCAGGCGTCCTCGTGCGTTTGACCACCCCACGCGCCCCAAGCCCAAGCCAGATCCCGAGAGCAAGAGATCTAAGAAGCGGGCCGAACGCTCGGGCCACTCGGGTGCCGAGACCGCCCAAGTCAAGGTTCCCAGCCCTGCGATCTGGGGGGCCAAGCGCAAGATTTCTATCGAAAGCCCTCCTGTTTTGCAGTATGTTCATCTCGAGCTTGAGGAGGACGACTTTTGGACCGACAGTGGGGGGGAGGACGCGACGGATGCCCCGCCTGAGGATGCCCCAGTTTTGGATGAGCTGGAGGACGTACATGAGGCTGAGTTATCCACTTTTGCTAGTCTTCAGAGCAGTTGGTCAAATTTGGCGAAGGACCTGTTGTGGACCAGTCTTTCGGCGCAGGTGGCACGAAGATCGGATCCTCCAGCTTTCGTTGAGCAGAGTCTTGGCTTTCAGGCAGACCCCAATGCAGCCCGTCGTATTGGCGAAGCGTTTTCTGAGTGGACACGCACATTGGAGTTGTATTATTGTGAGTTGTATCAGGTGCATCCTCAGGAACGTCGCCAGTTCATGGGTAGAGGCAATTTGCAGAACCCAGTCAAGCAGCCCATGGACGGGGGCAAGCCTTGGCCTACCACCTCTGACGCAAGTTCGCGATGGTGGTCTACGGTTGCTAGTCATCTCAGCGAACCCTCTCGCGTTAAACCTGGATCGGAAGGCCTTCCTCGTGCGCAGCATCTCAGAGGGCGGCTGTCGGCATTGGCATCGACCATTCCTATTTGTCAGCTCGTGCCGCTGCCTGAGCGCAGACGCGCTCGATGGGTTCGCTCGCTGCGCCCCTTGTCGGGTATCGCGAGAGAATCTTTGGCCAAGCTGACGGAGGCTGCGCGCAAGGCAGCTCATCAGTCGCAGCGAGCGGTGGCCAAGCAGCGCCTGCAGGGCTATCGCGACTGGGTTTGCCAGCACGCGATCAACGGCATGGGGGCTTTACACCGTCACGTCAAGGACCCGATGGCTGAGGTCAACGAGATTCGTTTTGTGAAGGGCCCCACCTACGATGGAGCCTCGCTCATGAAGGCAAAGCGGGCGGTCTGGGACAAGTTCTGGTCGCCCGTGAACTTCAGCAGCGTTGACGCCATGAAGGTGCTGCAGGAGGCTCGCGCCATGGCTTGGGAGGAGGACCGGCCTCCTCTCTCGCTGGATGGCCTCGAGGCGGCGCTGCTCGCTGTATCGCCGTCCAAGGCGTCAGGCATCGATGGAGTTCGTCGGCAGGGTGTGTGGTGGCTGCCCGATGCGGGCCGCCATCAGCTGCTTTCTCTTTTCCAGCAGATCGAGTTAGCAGTAGCGTGGCCTTGGCAGTGGCTCACAGCTATTATTGT